TTGAAATTTTCAAAAATCGGTAGCAAAAGTGGAGAGGTGCGCATTGAAAAGCCGAATGGCATCTAAGTGCGACGCCGCTCCAACAGTGCCGCATCCCCCGCCTATCCTTAGAAGTATGAAGGTACCTAGATGGGGAGGGATACTTGGTCAAAAGTGGGTATTGAAGACGCGATGTACATAATTTTTCAAACGCTGATTTTAATTTTGTAAAGTGTTCTTCTGGAAAAATTATACAAGTTTGTCGAAAACTAGCTTGTGCGGCTCTCAATGACTCTGCAACAAAGGGCTGTTTTATAATGGAAACATATTTTCGTTGGTATAAAGCCTCTACCCTGCTTTATAGGTCCAAAGTTAAATTTTGAGCATTCTAATTCGGATCCTGTAAGCCATTTTTGTTAAAGAGAAACGTTTATATCTTCTAGAGAAATGCTTCGCAGGTAGTTTTGATAGTAGTTACCACAGTTTAGATTGCTAGTTCGACCAAGTATACTTCCCTTGTAAGCTAATTTCTTCAGTTGAAACACAACAATTTCACTATGCCATTTTTGCTAAACTAGAAAACTAATTAAATGGACTGTTCGCAGGAAGATGGTGTAAAAAAGAAAAATCTATAATCTAATACATGTGCTTCTTAATGAGCAATGAAATGGATGCACGACGTAATGATATTGGTTTCAGAACAGTCCACGATAAGACTAAAGCTACAATCAAGTGGAACTCATCCTGATTATCGACAAGTCATCAAAAGCGCGAAGTCTAATAAATGCATATATGTATATAGAAAGTTCTTTTACTGTCGAACTGCATAGCTATGAATGGCCCACATAAATTGCCATTCATAATGCTGCAGCAGCGATAATTTCGCACGATGATAAATGGAACGATCTGTACACGATCATCACAAAAGTGCTCGTGCTTGAGCGATGAAAAGATAATAAAAATAAGAAATTTGAACGCAGCAGCATACCTTACGTGGACGAGGATGGATCTGGTTGATACCGCGAATTCGAACGACGAAAGCAAGCTTGGGCTCATCAGGGACGTAGTAGTCACCATTCTTTTCGGCGTCACGCTTTAAGCGGAGTTGTTCCCTCTGTGCCTGACGGTACTCGGCCACATACTTTTCGGCTCTCTTGAAGATCTTGGCCCTCTTTTCCTTGCTCTTCTGTAAAAGAATAGAAGTCCAAGACCAAACATGAAGTAAAAGAAAAAAAAAACGCTTGGAAAATGTATGACGAAAGAAATATCTTGGAAGGACCTACAGCAGCGAGTTTGACTTTGTTTTGGATAATCTTAGCCCTGATCTCAGCTCTTTGTTTCCTCCTCTTTAATACAGTCTCAGGGACTTGGGGAAGTTTCTTCCTAAAACAATGACATTCAAAACACAATAGAGAAAAAAACCTGCATCAAATATGAAGAAAAGAGAAGACAGAAGTTAGAATAAAAACTTACTCGACCATGGCTTAGTCGTAGGATACCCTGAAAACAAAAATGTTAGCCAAATAGTATGTCATAAAACTGAACAAGACCAAAAGAGATTGTCACATGTTGCAAAAATTCCTAAGGAATGAGCTGCAACTGTAGTTACCCTTTTCGAAATTCAA